GGGAGCTGCAACTCTGCTGTAGTCTCTAATGAAACGTCTGTAAAAATTGGCAAAACCCAAAAATCTTTGCAGCAGTTTACGGGATGTGGGTGTAGGCCAATCAACAACAGCCTGGATCTTGGCTGGGTCTGCTGACAGTCTTCCTTCTTCAATAAAAAACCCGAGGAAACTAACCTTAGGTTTGTGAAATTCACATTTCTCAGCCTTGACGTAGAGTTTGTTTTCCAATAGTCTCTTTAGCACTAGCCGAACATGCTGGACATGCTCTTGGATGTCTTTGGAGAAAATCAAAATGTCGTCCAGGTAAACAAAAATAAACTTGTTGAGCATGTCACGCAAAACATCATTTATGAGTGACTGGAAGACTGCTGGTGCGTTTGTGAGCCCAAAAGGCATTACCTGATATTCAAAGTGACCCAGTGGAGTATTGAATGCAGTCTTCCACTCATCTCCACTTCTGATTCGCACAAGATGGTAGGCATTGCGAAGGTCCAGCTTAGAGAAAACCGTAGCCCTGTGCAGAGGCTCAAAGGCAGAATCAATTAGTGGGAGTGGATACTTGTTTTTTACTGTGATAGCATTGAGACCACGGTAATCAATACATGGCCGCAAAGTCTTATCCTTCTTGTCTACAAAGAAAAACCCGGCTGCAACAGGGGAGGAGGAGGGCCGGATGTGACCGGACGCCAGTGAATCATGAATGTACTTCTCCATGGCTTCTCTTTCAGGACCTGAGAGATTGTACAAACGGCTAGACGGTAAAGGTGCCCCTGGGAAAAGGTCAATAGCACAGTCATATGGCCTATGTGGAGGAAGAGAGAGGGCTCGATCCTTGCTGAAAACTTCGGCCAAATCATGATACTCAGGGGGCACATCTGAGAGATCAGTTAGTGCAGGTTGAGTGGTAGTAGGGACATGGGCAGGTGGGTTGGCGGAACGGAGACAATTAGAGTGGCAGAAAAGGCTCCATGTAGTTGATCTGGATGGCCAATCAAACTGGGGATTATGCAGTGACAGCCAAGGAATACCAAGGACAATAGGAGCGAGTGGTGAGGGAAGGACATAGAGTCTAATAGTCTCTTTGTGGTTACCAGAGAGGACTAGAGTGACAGGAACAGTACAATGAGTAACATTGGCAATAAGACGCCCATCCACTGCCTTAATGGATTTAGGTCTTTCAACAAGTTCAGTGGGGATCCCGTTTTGTCTTACAAAATCCGAGTCAATAAAGTTATCATCAGCTCCTGAATCAACTAATGAAAAAGCAGGAAATGACTCACCATTGTGTTGGAGAGAGGTCTGCAACTGGATGCGTTGGGGGAATTGGCTGGAGTGCTGGCTCATCAGTACCCCCTTACTTACTGATGAGCCTGATCTTTTGGCAGCATATTGCACTGGCTCTGAAAGTGATTTGATGCCCCACAATAAAAGCAGAGACGGGACTGCAGGCGGCGCTGTCGTTCCACTTGGTCGAGGCGGAGACGTCCCAGCTGCATTGGTTCCTCGCTGGAGGAAGGTGGAAGCTCCTTTGGTAGAGGCACTGGAACAGACTGGGAGGGGACATAATACATAGGCCGAGAACTTGACATCACTTTTTCCCTGCGCCTTTCCCTCAGGCGGTTGTCCAGACGTACTGCTAATGAAATTAGAGTTTCCAAATCTGGGCATTCGTCACGAGAAGCAAGTTCATCCTTCATACTTTCATTGAGGCCATGAAAAAATGCTCCCTGCAGAGCGTTCATGTCCCACCCACTTTCAGCTGCTGCAATTCTAAAGTTCAAAGAATACTGGGCCACAGATGAACTGCCCTGCTTTAGAGAAAAAAGTCGTTGGCCTGCCTCCTTACTCTGGATAGGATGGTCAAAAATATGTCGCATTTCTTTACAAAAACCCAAATAAGAGTGGCAAAAATCTGCATTGCCCTTCCATGCAGCAGTAGCCCACTCAGAAGCCTTCCCTGAGAGTAACCCCACCATATATGCAATGCGGGATCTATCAGTAGTGTATGTCTGGGGCTGCTGTTCAAAAACCAGGTCACATTTTAACAAAAAACTCCCACATGATCCAAGCTCACCAGAAAAAGGTTGAGGTGTAGGAATAAATGGCTCACGTGCATTAGAAGAGGGCATTGGTGGTTGAGTAGGATCCATAGGAAGAGAAGAGGAGCCAGGCTGAGCAGGAGCAGGTGCAGCGAGTTGGTGTGTGATTAGGTGCTGGAGCTGGCTTCCAAGTTCACCAACATGAGAGGAGAGTTTCCGTAACGCGTCCATAACCTCCTTCATTTCTTGGTCATGGCGTCCAAGAGTTTGTCCTTGAGCAGACAGGGCCTTAACAATGGTATCTTGGTCTGCGGGGTCCATGCTGGTCAGATTGTTCTGTTAGGGTAGATGAGAGGACCTCAAAGCAGACGGCAAAAGGGCAGTAAAAATATTTATTAACAAAAAGTGCAGCAGGCTTGGCTGAAGGGAAACAGGGCAAGGCTTGGTCCAGTGGGGGGCTTCGAGCAGGCAGTGGAACACGGTGGAAGACGGAACAATCTGACGATGAGTGGAGATCAGCTTGGAGACTTTGTACTGTGGTGATGAGGGAACTGAAGACAGCTGTGCCTGCTCGAAGACCACACCCAACAGGAGCCATGCCTGAAACAAAACAAAACCACACGGGGGAGGCAAACCACAACAGAGCAATTGCAATGAATTAAATGTTTACATCCTGGTAATTTTTTGTCATTGAAAATGTTATTCATTTTCACTTTTTCCACTCGTGCATTCCTGTGGGCTTCTGCTCTTCCAAGTCGTACAACCGTAATGCAAGACTGTTTGAACATTGAACTAGAAATGTCAGCGTCTGCACAATACCTCAATGATTGTGCTGAACCACATGAGCCCAAGGACCAATGAAGAAGAGAAATTACTTTTAATGTTTTATAGCTAATTAAGTTTTGGAACGGTGTTTAGAGTATTTCAATACATTTATTTTGGATAGATGTAAATCATTTTGGATGAAGGACTTGACAACAAAAGTAAATAAATCTTTATAAAAGTAAGTCTTTATTCCTGAGAAAATGAACTTTAAAATGAGGTATAACATGTTATGGTGAAGAATATTGGCCAGATGGGAAGAATCTTTGCCCAAGACCTGATGTTTCAAAAACATTAAAAAATGGTCAGATAAATTGATCAATCTCTCATGATCATGCAGTGACAAAAAAACAGCACTAGAAGGTACAACAACTCCTTTATAACATTCCAACTTGACAAAATCATTCTCATTCCTGCATAGAACAGCAAATACCAGGCGAGGTGTAATATCATGATTATTCAAGAGTAATTGGCTGTGTTAAGTGCAACCCCAGATGTGACCCCAGTATCAATCAATTTGATTGGGCAGCACGTGTGTAAGTCCCCTCTCACCCCCATCACCAGGGAGCCGTTAATATGAATTGTAAATGAATAGTGAGATATAAATGTGACACAGATGGAGCACCCATTGTTACAGGCTTGTGTGTCTATAACGCAGTGAATGAATGGGAGGAATACATTTGATAAAACACAAAACAGATCCTCATTCATTACAGGCTTCAGATGAAAGAGGTGTATCATTGTGTATTATGTGATTAAGAATGGGGTAATTGTCCAGACTGCTGACACAGCTGAAGATTATAGACTTTTATGGATTAAACATTGAGCCAAAACGTCTCCCGGCCCCATCTGGAAGTCCTCTGCACGTCATCTGCCACATTATCTCACTTTTCACTACGAACAATAACACACGAGCCAAAACTCTAGATCCTGTCTGTGCTTTTGTGGAATTTGGCCAAATCTGCAATAATGTGTCTTTTATTATTATTGTTTCAAAGCGCTTATGTCGTTGTTAAAGCCATACATGACAACATTCTGCAACAGCATTGATACAGCTTAGCATTATGTTTTAACCACAAACACAAAGACTTTACTTTGGATTTAGTTACTGACTGACACCTTCCTATCATATCCGACACTCTTCCCTGTCCCTGATGAAGAAAAGCAGCCCCCATATTTGACACAGTGAATGGTGCACTGAGGGTGAGGAGCAGTGATTGTACTGAAATTTACATAATGTTAACATTTTGTCCAAAAGATTACATTTTGATCCAATTTGACCAGAGGTCATGTTCAGTTGAATCTAAACTTTTGTGGCCAAAACTAGCCTTTTGCAATGACTGTAATTATTTAGCTTTGAAAACTACAACATGTTATTTTGTCTTGTTAAAAATGTTTTTCGTTTTTTCCCTCCTCATAATACGGGACACAAACAAGCAAAAAAAGGGGGGAAATGTGGGGGATATTCAGTGCAATTAACCCTACATTTTCCAAACAATTAGTTTTAACAATATATCTGTTGGTGATTGTTTTTGTGACGGTTTGTGTCTTTCTGGTATAGGGAAAAAGGTCATACATGAGGCAACAAAACCCAGATGCATAAACATTGGTTTCAAACGCATTCACTCTGGGATCAGGTTTTGAAAATAGTCATTTACAGCATGCGGTCGGGGTGGGAATTGGCTAAAATGTGACGATTTCACAGCATATTGAGATACAGCAAGTATTGTCATTCAATTCTGCGATATATTACAATTCATGTCCCTCAAAGGCATTACAAATAATAGAGAATATAAGACTTCTCAACTCAAATATCACATTTATTTTGGTCTGCACATAAACTGAAGTGCTAAAAACCTCAGGACACAAAACCTTATTACAGGTCAGGACAAGGCAATTAGACGCAAATATTAGAGTCGCAAAAAGCAGACGTAATAGAGTAACATAAGTAAACTTGAGTAGTCTCGGAGAAAACCCAAAAGTGAAACAGATAATTATTTAATTATTGAATTAAATATGTGCGCAAAATATTGTGATACTGAACGGAATCCATTTTTTACCCCACCACAAGCCAGCCACTAGTAGCTCTGTCCAGAATTAGACTAAATACTTTTGCTGGTAAGCCTCTTGCTCACTCACCTGCTTGCCTTCCAGCGTGTACAGCTTCTTGACTGCCCCGGAGTCCAGCTTGATGGCATCGGTGATGTCGCTGAGAACCTGTTCGAAGGAGTGGGCCGTCTTCTTGTTGAGCAGAACTCTCACCGCTTTCCGAGGTTTGACTCCGCTGCGGATCACGGTGACCAGTTTGGGCTTGATGAAGTCCTTGGTCTCCCGCTGCAGTTCGTTCTTCAGGGCGGTGAGGGAGGGGAGGGAGCGGGATGTGCTGGTCTTGCAGCCCACGGTCCAGTTGGGGTTCACGTTCTTGGTGTAGTCCACTCTCCGGAAAGGTTCGTTTGAGGCGCACACGTAGCTCTCGCCTGCGATGTGTAGAAGGAAAAGTTTGGTTAAAGTAGAGATACTGAGATAATGAGACTAGTTACTTTGTCACTTAATGTTTGAGAATGTGATATAACATCTTCAATAGAAAATACACGCTGAAACAAGTATGAAGGGTAAATAATGTTGTCGACGTGCCAGATAAAGGATATCAGATTGATATGTTGGAGTTGTGTTGCTTTTCTCCAAATTTAAAAAAGAATGTAATTTCACCTGAGAATTTGACAAACTAATTTAGGGGAAATACTTTTATTTTAAAAGGCAGAAAACTGTGTGTCGTACGATGACATAATATTAATACAGGACTGAAACAGGGGCTTTTAGACAGAAGGGGCGGAGTTTGTGCCAGAAGTTTTTGAAATTAGTGCAGATGGATCTAAAAACAATATAGGTCTGTTTTGATGAGAGGGAGAAAATTCATAATTTGCCTCAATTACGTTGTTTTATTTTTTATTACGCCATGTTTTGAGAAAAAAAAGATGTAAAACATCAAAACATAAAACAGCCATAGCCTACACCACTTGGTTTAGAATACAGAGTGCCCCATGGCCGACACACCCTAATATGTAGCCCCAATAGTCCGGTAACATATACTTTATGTTACCGGACTATTCCTGTTAGTGCCCAGAGTCAGAACTAAACATGGGGAGGCTGCTTTTCAGATTCATGCTGCTAAAATCTGGAACAATCTTCCTGAAGATGTGAGACAGGCCTCCTCTCTGACAATGTTTAAAACCAGGTTAAAATCATTTCTGTTTAGCTGTGCATACAACTGAGGGATTTTATATTTTTATCTTTCTTTTTAATGTTCTGTGATTATTTATGATTTTAATGCTTTCTTGTTTTGTTCAGCACTTTGAGTTGCCTTGTGTATGAATTGTGCTATACAAATAAACTTGCCTTGCCTTTAATAAACTCAGCCTCAAGCCTCATCATGAGTACACTGAGTACATGAGAGTTTATACTGTCATTGTGTTTGATAAAAGTACAAACACAGCACGTCCAGCTGCAGGCACTGATGCACATGATGTGAAAATACATTAAATGCTAACCCTAACCCTTGGCAAAACCATAAGTTTATATCAGCAATGCAAAGGCAATGGCTAAAACTATGAAACCAAAAACAACAACAAAAGCTATATTGGCCTGGTAAACACATTGTGCTGAGGCAAGACACGGCCACCTCGTAAGAATGAACTATACATGTGGTGAAACACGGAAAATTATACTGTCATTCAATTTGCAATGTGAAACTAATATGTAATATGTATTGTGACTTGGTAGAGCGTTGGCCTTTGAGCCAGAAGGTCGTGGGTTCAAGCCCCGCTCAAGACTTTCACCATCGACTCCCAATGACTACTGTCGTTGTGTCCTTGGCAAGACACTTAACCTCTGGGAACACCTGATGCCACAGTGGGGCGGCTGCGGCTGTAAAGTGCCAAACTGCCGTTGTGTCCTTGGGCAAGACACTTCACCCCCATTGCCTAGAATGAGTCTGGTGTGTGTATGAATGGTTGGTGGTGGTCGGAGGGGCCGATGGCGCATACTGGTTGCCTCGCTTCTGTCAGTGTGCCCCAGGGCAGCTGTGGCTACAGTAGTAGTTTATCACCACCGTGTATGGAGTGAATGAATAATGACACATGTGAAGCGTCTTTGAGTGTCCAAAAAAGCGCTATATAAAACCGATGCATTATTATTATTATTATTATTACATGCAAAGTAAGATATATGAAGCTTTTAAGATAAAATAAGAGAAGATAGACTTTAAGATTAAGAGATCCTTTATTCGTCCCACAGTGGGGAAATTTATTGATCTCACACAGGAGAAAGTTACATATCACATTTGGCATAGATAGAATCACTCACATTGTGCAAAAGACAGAAGTGTGTGTACAAGTCAAAGGTTAAAAATATAGTCTGTGCAGGATATATTATGTACAATAAAAAGTGGCAATTAAAGAAAGAGTGGCAATAGCAGTGCAGGTTTTTCAGTCCTAGTGCATTAGTGAAGTTGATCTGTTTAATGTTGATGATTGGCTCACAGCTGTAAAAACCCCAAATAAAACATCTAAGATAATTATAATATTTTGAAAATGGACTGTGAGCCATCATCATCAACAGCGTGTGTGTTTTCTGTGTGTTTTGCATTGTGCTGTATGAGTGAGAAGGGTTAGAACCAAATAATCGTCTGCTTCATCCGACCCCTTGTCAATCTTTTTCTGCATTTCATCCTGTTAATGGTGTTTGTTGATAACATACATGTCTACGATTACTATGAGAATAGAGAAATGAAAGACGCAGAGTGAGATTTATAAAGACTTTACTTGCTATAATGTTGATAATTGGCTCAAAGCTGTAAAAACACACAAAGAAATATTTAGAAAATGGAGCCATAATCGTCAAATTTATAACAAACAAAGGCTTGGCATACGACACTTTGCCTGTAATGAGTCTATATCATAGATTAACAAATATTTTAATTCACATTTTAAGTTGAATTACATAAATATTGTTTTGCATTTAAACAATATCCTAATTTGCAAAGTTTCACCAGTACATTGGTTGGTGGTCTTCGGAGTCAAGACAGCTGTGTGGAGTGAACTATCACAAAGGCTTATTACAATCTGGGCATTGTGTGACAAAAAATGTTGAGATAAGTTTAGGGTCAGAGAGTGTTTGGGCCTGTGTGTATTTGTTGTGTTCATGAGTGAGAGGGGGTGGAACCAAGAGCCTAACCGTGTATGGCTGTTTCTTTTTTTGCATCCTGTTTATTGCTTCTGTCTATTGCTCAACATAAGTTCTATACAACAACAATAATGCATTTAAATGATTATAACACAAACTGAACTCATTCAATCACCAATCTAGTCCGACACATGATTAAAGTTAGACATCTCAAGAGTGTCCAAGGAGTTAACATTTGCCCTGTGAAACAAAAAGCTTGCACATTAAGAGGCTGGGCAGTGTCCGTCTGCATTTCCTCCATTCTCCTGCAGCTCTGGGCGACACTGGCCTTCCTCCAGCTCTTTGAAAACCATCTAAAACATTCCAATAGTGCAGTGAACACCAGCATATGTTTCCTCAGGACAATGTCATGTAAATGCTTGGAGAGTGACTGTAACCACAGGGAGAATGCGTGGAGTTTGTACCAACGGTTGAGCCCTGCTATGTGTGGTATGTCAGCGTGTGCCGGGATTCTGAATGAGGGAAAGTGCATTCCAAGCATGCTACGTTTGTCCCAACAATCCAGGAACGATGAATGTGGTCATGAAAGGAAGCAAGTAATAGATAAGAAAAACTAAAATGCTTTCTTTTTTTAAGAGAACTGTTGAGATTTGACCGACACACATCTTGGCATAGTGACTGTTATTGAGGGATTGCATAATAATCCTCCATTAATGCTAATAATAAATAATGTAAAGATGTTGTTGAATGAATAATCTTTTTTTTTTAAGGCAAGCCCCTCGCCCGCTGCATGGGTGTATTACTTTAAATCCTTACTACTTCCAACACAGACAAGGCCCGTTGCTCACTGCCAATTCTCCAGATTGGTTGTGTTTTCACCAAGGAGAGGGACTATAATGATTCTTGAGTGAGTTTTTGAAAAATACTTGATACTACAGGGTCATATGGTCAAAAATATTCATTATTTTGTTTTTCGACAACACACCGTGAATTTGTTCTATGCTTTACCCAGTGCCTTTAATATACATACAATTCATTAATTTCACAATCTCTGAAATTGGGTTGTGGAAAGTTTGTGTGACACATGGGACACTCTTATTATTAGCTTAATAAAACATCTACTCTAATTTAGCCAATTTATGAGCAGCTGATTAAAAGTCTCCAGCACAGATGGGGTCAAAACCAGGGCTGAGGTCTCGTCCAGGCAGACAGGGAGGTCCCAGGAGGAGGGTCTCAGGTGTGGAGGCTGATGGGCTCTGACTGTGGCTCAGCTGGATCATACATGAGAATATTACTGATGATAGACCGGTCATATCTGACCACACCAGTCATCTCGTCTGTATTAATAGTGGTAATGGTTAAAGCAATATAGATCTTAGATTTTTACTTGTTGGAATGTAGTCAAACTAGTTCATTATTTACCTTTTTTAGCCTTTTTTTCTCTATTATTTATTGTCACAGTTTAATTATGCTATATTTAAATTATTTTTATTGTGCACGTATGTACATTCATATACTTGCATGTATAGGCTGAGGGTGTATATTGAGTACAGTACTTCTCCCTATCATAGCTCTTTTCCTTTTTAGTAAAGAATCTAAAGATCCTTATTGAAAGAAATGGAAATGTATGAATGGGGGCAGGCACACTAGAAAGCGCCACATAAGTTTCCTTGTGTATGAAGTGCGATAGTATAAACCTGCTTCTACAGTAACTACTCCCTTTGAGCAAATTGCTGTCTTTTGTTCGTTTCCTGAAAGTTTATTGATGCTCTGCGTTGACTTTGTTTTTATACTGCTCAAACAAAGTATACATGTATAACTCTCTCTGTTTTGGTTTTAGGTTGTGTAGTGGACAAAAGAATCATAGTATTTTTAGAGTATAGTGACTTTTATTAGATACAATCAAATGAAACAAGTTAAGTGCAGGTATATTCTAGTGTTTTAATAAATAATCACTTTTTTGTTATTCCTGTCCCAATAGTTACAATATCAACTCATCATTCATTCAATAACTGATGGATAAAACTATTTATTATATGACTTGGACCGTACGTGCGCTCTGATTGGCTGATTACCGGTCTGATATTTTCCCATCTCAGACTGTTACCATGACAATTGGTCCGAATAGCGCGTATCACATTTGATATCTTTCTTCGGACCGTTACCATGACAATCAGTCCGCAGCGGGTATCACAATTGATTTCTTTCCTGAGTTTCCTCGGTAAAAAAGAAATAATGGGCAACAACTGGAAGCATTCTCCAGTGAATTCTATTATCCGGACGAGTTTGACGAGCCAGAGGAATAAATTACAGAAAATAACAAAGAAAAAATAACTAACAGACAAGATCAGATTGACAACTAAGCTGTTAATACTTTGGGAATACATTTTCTTGGCAAAGGCTTTTCAATTAAATGTATGAATATATATATTATACTTGCATCCGTGAAAGGCAGTGATTTCAATATGAATGTTTTTCACAATTAATTGGCCTACTTTTTTTGATGTTTTTTTGGTGACAACTGACCATATTATTATTATTATTTAGAATATCTATTATTGACAGCAATGGTCATAAGGGTTCAATATGGCTATGAAGCTAATCTTCTGCCTCACAGTCTTCAATACCCAGCCAATGCCCAGTTTGGGGTCCGTCCAAACATAACTGATACATCAAAATGACATTATTCAGAAAATGAGTTGTAAATGATGCATAAAGGCTGAAGCTTAACGTCTATAAGTGCATTTTTTCTGGCTTGTTACTATGTTACAAAAATATCCTCAAATGGAAATTCAGTACAAAATAATTGCATGACAACAGTGCATACATCTGAGGGATCCACCTGGAAATGTTGCCAGGGGTGACTCCAGGCCTGAAGGGGGATGCTAGACTCTGGGAGGGTTCACAGAGAGGAGACACAGCATGAAAGGCTGCAATCAATGACCTCCATCGACTGCTGAGAGCGGCACTAATGAGTCAACAGCACGCCTATTACATGAGACCAGGACGTCACACCGCACTCTCCCGATGCTTGATCTGACTCCATTATTTCTTCAGATTTTACATTTGGGGCGACATGTGGGGTACCTAACTTTAAAACTACCCATGTAAGTCGTTTCTAACTCTCCAAACATTTTAGTTCTACTGCACCTGCATGCATTTTTGGTCTTTATCACATGTGTTTACACCAGCTGTTTCTCAGCCAATCAGCTCAAAGCATAAAATAGTGACTCAAGAAACTCTTATGAGTACAACATTTCAGACTTTTTGTTGGTACAAACAAAATGTAACTACTGCAGCTGCTCCAGCATTTAGCGTGGTATTGCATTGTGTGTAAACAAGCCATTTTTTCTATATTTTGAAAGACGGAGCTATCTGATAGCTGCAATTACTCCACATTCCTAAAATTATACAAATCATTAAAACACACTACTTTCTTTATTCCCTTTATATCCACGTGTAAAATGCAGAAAACAGAAATAACTCTGATTTCTTGTTGTTAGCCAAAATGCACACGGGGCAGAAGGCTTTATTTTATGAGTCTCTGAGGCAAAACATCAACGACACATCTGTAGAATCCAGATCAGCTACTGCCTGGCCTCAATCTACCCAAGATCCCCCAGGATGAAATCAGTTCAAATTAATATAGCACACATTTTAGGAGGTTAGGAGAAGGAAATAGACCAGTACATGAGAATTAACAGAGGAATAAGAAGTTGGAACCGTCACCAGACAGTAACTATGTGAAGAAATCCGATTTTGGACGTGGCCCAGTGCAGGCGCCAACCAACGGGGATTTACTGTATAATACTGTAGATCAAAAATGTTTTATTTTGACTTTATTTGGGAAAGCCTGTTGAGATGTAGCTTAAAATGTAAGCTGTATGTAATTATGGAGTGTTTATGTCAAGGAAGCCTATACCAGGATAGGGTTAGGCTTCAGAGGATTCTCCAATTGGTTCATTCACTCATTGAATAAAGAGATCATGGTAGTTACATAGTAGTATCAATAGACTTTTTATTCACAACAAAGAACAGAAATTTAGGCCATTTTACAGCTTTTTTGGTTGGGTTTATAGTGAAGAAAAAGTGTCAAACACATGTCCTTGCAGTGAGAAATCTTTTATAAAATTCACCATAGCAGAGACTACAAAGGTTTTGTAACAATTTTGCTGTGATCTATTGTTTATTGTCCAGTTTTTGCTCTGATACTAGTCCATATGTGGTATTGGCAGAGTCACAGTGTTGAGATCGGAATCGGACATATAAAATCTGGATTGGTTCGTCCCTAATTATAACTTTTATTTTCATTTAATAACTCTATGGAATTGTGCAGATGGATACTGTCCCACCTCCTGTAAGTGTTGCTTTAAAGACTTTCCATTCAAATAGATATGGACATTAGTGGAATGACTGTATGACTGAATGAGTTCAACGCTAAATATACAGCATTTAGCCTGAAGCTGTAGGGTGAACTAGAACACGGGACGTTTAATAAAGCTTTTATACAGTCAATAATATCTGACAGCTCTTTCAAAGGGGGTCACAAGATCAGTGGCAGCAGGAACATTAAGTTAAGAGTCTCAGATTAAACGTTGAGGTGTACAACTGCTAACCCCAGTGATTGGTGTAAAGTTTGTGCGTTCAAAAAAGGACAAAAATGGGAATAACTATGGACAAGATGATCAAACCACTTTTAAGGCGTGTTCACATGTGTTGGTCTGGTTCACTTTAACTGGAACAAGTCTAATTGTAAGTTTAATTACATAAATACATTAACTTTTGACCAATATTCTCATTGTCACCTGTTAAAATGTCATTGCCTAGTTGTAACCATGTGTTTCACCCTGTATATGGAAAGAAACTGATAATCCTCCTGTCATGCTTTATTGAGACTTAAACATGGGGTATCTAACTTATAATTAATAGCGAAAATAAATATAGATATAATTTTTTCGCTCAATAGAAAGATAATTGTCAAATTGAAAAGTTGTGACAAATCAGACCACAACGTGTTCTTAGAAACCATTTATATTTGGCATACTGCAAAGAAAGATCCCTATGAGTTACTGTTAGACGCTTTAGACTGAGAGCTGAGTGAGAGTGGTTCTCTCTTTTCCAAAGAAGTGCATTTTTGTGAAAGCTGCACAACAAACTTTTGAGGGGTGTAGACTTAAAATGATTAGTGTAGTAGCTTCAACTTTTGAATATGGTTGAACTCATAGCTAACTTTATTTACTTATATGTTTCAGGTTTTAGCAATTCACAGATTATGAGTCAAAAAACATATAGTGACTCCTATTACTTCTGAGGTAAAAGCTCAAAACGCATAATCTGTGAGTTGTTAAAACTTGAAACAGATGAAGTAAAGGTTAAAGCAATTCCACTCACTTTTTAAGTTTGCACCACTGAGAAGTTATTTATTGTTGTACTTAGGGCTTATAGTACAGCTTTCGCCAAGATGCACTTCTTCCCTTTGTCAACTTTGAATCAGCTTTGAGTGAAAAAGAGAGAAAGCGTCTAGTAGTGACTCATGGGAATCTCTCTATGCAAAAAAAATGCTTTCTAAGAACGTGTTGGAGTCTGATATGACACAACTTTTCATTTTGACGAGAGTGTTTCTGTTGGGACAAAATAATCTATATGTGGAGCAAATAAAAATGTCTTAATAAAGCATGACGTTAGGGTTATTAGTTTCTAGCCATATACAAAGTGAAAAAAAGATAATAAATATATAGTTAGATCATTTTTACAGTGATGCCTATTATATACACTAACCCAACATACCTTCTACTAGCTCGTCCAGGCTGGTGACTCTCCTGCCCCCGTCCAGCGCGTACAGCGAGCGCACTCCTTGGGGCAGGTTGACGTTATCGGACAGAGAGCGCGTGAGTTCCATGAGCAGTGCGTCAAAAGACCTGAAGCGGTCACTGGACACGGCATAAACCAGGCCTTTGAAATACTTGTCTCCATTTCGGTAGAAGCGCACTTTCCTGGCCTTCTTCTCCGAGGTGAGGGACTGGAGCGTGCGTGTGCGGTAGAAGCTGCAGTGCGCGCTGTGAGCCGGGCTGGGGGCCACACCGTTTCCCCTGGAGCCGCTGTGGGAACCAGACACAGAGCTGGCTTTTGGGGGGCGATGTCCAAGCTTGTGGTGTCCTCCAAGCTCCTCAAAGTGATCGAATTCAATACTTCTGCTGAGCGACATGTTCTCAACTGCGTGTCCCAGAAATCATGCAACAACAACAAAAAAGTGACAATACGCACGTGCCAAACTTCCCAAGCACCCCTGCAAAAATCCCAATATATGCTTCCAAGGTCGAGTCGAGTATGTTGCTAGATTTATTACGGGATTTGTTTGGAGCTGTGAATCCAAATAGGCCAAACTTCATCAACTTAGTCCCTTAGACATCGCAGAGATCGCTCCAAACGTGCTCCTAGTCGCGCGTCCGCATCCTCCCTGACTGCCGCTGTGCGCTCTGAAGCAGATGGGAGAGAGAGGAAGGCGAGGAGGAGGGGTCTACAGGGTCCTAACGCACGCCTTTTGTTCATTTCCAAAACAATGGATCTCAGAAATCTGACCCCAAAGCCTGCCTCTTTTTGTGTGGCGTGATGACAAGCCTTTAGACAAGGCAAGGCGAGTTTATTTGTGTATTTTTTTTCAACATGGATTTGAACATTGTCAGAGAAGACGCTTGTCTCACATTTTCAGGAAGACTGTCCCTGCACTGTAAAAAGTTGCTTTTATCAGATTTTTTAAACAAAATATTTATCGTAAGCACATCCATCAACCTTTTTATGTTCTTTCAACTTTAGCTCTCTTTTAAGTAATACATATTTTTAATTACTTTTGACAGAATGCAAAAAGCTTTGAAGTGATTGCTTTGTACATGTTTGTGTTCTTTCAAAGCAAAACTATAACTTACAGGTGATCAATGTTCTGTTTTTGTTTTATCTTCATGCTTAACTTAAATGTCAATCAATCAATCAATCTTTTTTTATAGAGCACTGCTGCATTTTGAATGTACTGCAGCTGCTTTACAGCCTGTTTGGAGAGACCTGTGAGCAGGCCATTGCAGTAGTCTAACCTACTGGAGACAAATGCATGGATAAGAATCTCCTTGGACACAATATTTCAAATTTTGGCAATATTTTTCAGATGGTAAAATGCTGCTCGTTGCCGATCCAATGTGGCTATTGAAATTTAAGTACGAGTCCATTATTACTCCCAGATTTCTGACCTTATTTAAATGTTTTAGGGAGAGAGACTGAAGGTAATAAATGACGGCCTCGCTTTGTTTCTGAGGACCAAAGACAATAATTTCAGTTTTGTCTGCGTTTAGCTGGAGAAAATTATTTTGCATCCACTCACTGATCTGTTGGATACAGTGAAGGAGTGAGTCCACTGGTCCATGTTCACCTGCAGTCAGTGAGACATAGATTTGAGTGTCATCAGCATGATTGTGGTAAGAAAGTAAGTAAGTAATGTTTATTTATATAGCGCATTTTACAGACCAAGGTCACCCAAAGCGCTTTACAATGTTCAGAGTTCAGATATTGTTCCAATCATTCCACACACGGTGATGACAGAAGCGAGTCCAGAACACACTGGCGCATCAGCCCCCAATCAACACCATCCATTCATTCACTCATTTACATTCGTACCTATTGTGCATGTTTTTAGTGGTAGGGGAAACCGGAGCACCTGGAGGAAACCTACGCAGACACGAGGAGAACATGGAAACTCCACTCAGAAAGGCCCTGGGCAGACCGGGATTCGAACCCAGGACCTACTTGCTGAGAAACGAGAGTGCTATCCACTCAGCCACCGTGCCGCCCCGTGCCGAAAGTGGTAGGACACTTTTATACTTTGAATTAACTGACCTAATGGCAGCATGTAGACATTGAAACGGAGAGGTCCCAGGATCGTCCCCTGTGGCACTCCGCAGGTCAGGTCCATATTATCTGAGACACAGTCTCCAATCTCCACACAGTACTTCCTTACTTCTAAATAGGACCTAAACCAGCTTAGGGCGGTGCCAGCAACACCGACCCAGTGCTCTAGTCTCTGCATGAGAATCTCATGGTCAACGGTGTCGAAGGCGGCACTCAGATCTAACATGACTAAAACAGAGACTTTTCCTGCTTCAGTGTTAAGCCGAATGTTGTTACCTTGACTAGAGCAATCTCAGTGCTGTGGTGGGTCTAAAGCCAGACTCGAACATATCAAATGAGTCATTAGTTATTAAAAATTCAATAAGTTGTTGGTAGGCAACTTTTTCAAGAATGCTTCCCATGAAAGGCAGATTTGAGATGGGACGGTAATTTTCAAGTACCGCAGCATCCAAACTGCTCTTATTTAAGAGGGCCCTGATGACTACCATTGTCAGGGCCATTGGAAATGTTCCAGATAAGAGAGACATGTTTACCATTTTTGTCAGTGAGGGTAATAGACTACTCAGAACAGACTTCAGAAATCTAGGAGGTACCTGTGATTATCTTTTGAACAGTTTCATTATCGACAGGTGCAAATTGAGCTAGCTCAAAAAGCCTCACTGGCTGTTGCATTGTTACTCGTGTTGAGGAGGTGATGGGGTTTCTGATACCCTGAACCTTGTCTCTGAAGAACTGTGCAAACTAAACTTGGATGTGGAGTAGTGTTCTAATGGCAACTTAACGGGGGGGTTTGTTAATCTATTAATTGTTGAAAAAAGAACACGCAGATTGTTGCTGCAGCCTTCAATAGTTTCATGAAAAGTACAATTATCTGGTTTTACGTAGTACCCTGTTAAACTCACACAACTTCTCTTTAAAGAATTCATTATCACCCTGGAGGTTGGACTTTCGCCACTTTCGCATGGCCCTCCGGCAACTGAAAGCAACTCGGTAAAATGATCGATAAAAGTATGACATGACTGCGGTGGCTTGTATAGGACAATAATAAGAATAGAAGAAGATTGCTTTTGTTCAATCTTAAAAGACACATATTCAAATTATGAAAATTTTCCAAAGGGAACTTTATGTGATTCTAAAAACTTTTTTTTTTCCTGCAACGTTTAGTGCAGGAAAAACCTGAGATTCATCTAAAAGGGCTGGCCTTCGATCAAGAAGTGTAGCAACATTGTGTGTAATCTGACCTGCATATTGTGTACTGTGGACCCCTGTTATATCTGTATTACTGCTAAACATTATTATCTGAAGCACTGTACATCTTTGTTTTGCCCACATTGTTACTATTGTTCTTATGCACATTGTTACATATCATATCAAAAGCATTGTCTCTTCTCGTTCAATCGCCGCTGCCATGTCTTCATTTCTCAACAATTGGATCCATCCATTTTCTTCCGCTTTATCCGTTGCCGGGTCGCGGGGGCAGCAGTCTAAGCAGGGACGCCCAGACTTCCCTATCCACACACACTTCCTCCAGCTCGTCCGGGGGGACCCCAAGGCGTTCCCAGGCCAGCTGAGAGACATAGTCCCTCCAGCGTGTCCTAGGTCTTCCGCGAGGCCTCCTCCCGATGGGACGTGCCCGGAACACCTCCCCAGGGAGGCGTCCAGGAGGCATCCGGAACAGATGCCCGAGCCACCTCAACTGGTTCCTCTCGACGTGGAGAAGCAGCGGCTCTACTCCGAGCTCCTCCCGTGTGACTGAGCTCCTCACCCTATCTCTAAGGGAGCGCCCAGCCAGTCTGCGGAGGAAGCTCATTTCGACCAATTGTATCCGCGATCTCGTTCTTTCGGTCATTACCCAAAGCTCATGACCATAGGTGAGGGAGGGAACGAAGATTGACCGGTAAATCGAGAGCTTTGCCTTTCGGCTCAGCTCCCTCTTTACCACAACGGTCCGATACAGCGACCGCATCACTGCGCACGCTGCACCGATCCGCCTGTCAATCTCACGCTCCATTCTTCCCTCACTCGTGAACAAGACCCCGAGATACTTGAACTCCTCCACTTGAGGAAGGACCTCTCCACCCACCTGTAGAGGGCAAGGCACCTTTTTCCGGTCGAGCACCATGGCCTCGGATTTGGAGGTGCTGATTCTCATCCCAGCCGCTTCACACTCGGCTGCAAACCGCCCCAGAGCATGTTGTAGGTCCTGGTTCGTTGGAGCCAGCAGGACGACATCGTCCGCAAACAGCAGAGATGAAATCCTGTGGTCTCCGAACCGGACCCCCTCCAACCCCTGGCTGCGCCTAGAAATTCTGTCCATAAATACAGTGAACAGAACCGGTGACAAAGGGCAGCCCTGTCGGAGGCCAACATTCACCGGGAACAGGTCTGACTTACTGCCGGCAATGCAAACACAGCTCTGGCTCCGGTCATACAGGGATCGGATGGCCCTCAGCAGAGGACCTCCGACCCCGTACTCCCGGAGAACCCCCCAAAGGACACCCCGGGGAACACAGTCGAACGCCTTCTCCAAATCCACAAAGCACATGTGGACAGGTTGGGCGAACTCCCATGAACCCTCGAGTATCCGATGGAGAGTATAGAGCTGATCCAGTGTTCCGCGACCGGGACGAAAACCACACTGCTCCTCCTGGATCCGAGATTCGACCATCGGCCGTAGCCTCCTCTCCAGTACCTTGGAGTAGACCTTACCGGGGAGGCTGAGGAGTGTGATCCCACAATAATTGGAACACACCCTCCGGTCCCCCTTCCTGTAGAGAGGGACCACCACCCCGGTCTGCCACTCCATTGGCACCGCCCCCAATCGCCACGCGATGTTGCAGAGACGTGTCAGCCAAGACAGTCCTACAACATCCAGAGACTTTAGATAATCAGGGCGGATCTCATCCACACCCGGAGCCTTGCCACCATGGAGGCTGCCAACCACCTTGGTGACCTCAGCCAGGGAGATGGATGTATCCGCCCCAACATCCTCAGCCTCTGCCTCTGTAACAGAGGACATGACGGGGGGATTGAGGAGAACCTCAAAGTATTCCTTCCACCGCCCGACAATATCCCCAGTCGAGGTCAGCAGCTCTCCACCCGCACCGTACATGGTGTTGGCAAAGAACTGCTTCCCCCTCCTGAGGCGCCGGATGGTTTGCCAGAATCTCTTCGAGGCCGACCGATAGTCATGCTCCATGGACTCTCCGAACTCCTCCCAGTCCCGGGTTTTTGCCTCTGCAACAGCCCGGGCCGCGGCACGCTTGACCTGCCGGTACTGGACAGCTGCCTCAGGAGTCCCCCGAACCATCA